TTCAATTACTTCCTCAGTTTGTGATTTATACCCCTGACCCTCCGTTTCGCCCACAAAATTCATCCATGTTCAGGAGGCTGAAATTTTAATTCAAATGATTTATTTTAAAAAATCTTTTGAGATTTAGATGGTTTCAATATTCCTCTTATCAAATATAACTGACAAAAATTTATTCCTTTCACTTCAATGTTTGAGTTTGGTATGACCCTTACATGGAATGGCTGTATTAACTCCTAATGGTGCATTTGTGTACCACGGCGTTCCATCCGAGGGTGCATGGGCTTGAGGACCCCTTTGTAGGGCCAGAAAATTAATTTTGTGACTGGACACATACTACCGGTAGACCCGAGTATCTCATACATACGGCTGCTGAAGCCTTCATCTTCATTTTCGCATCTGGATTTAGTCAATGTATCACGATGAACAATGTAACAGAGGTCTTGTTCATCACCATCAAGAACAAAGTCAGAAGCCTTCATATTGCAGATATTTTCTCTGCCTCTATTTGCAAAATAAATCAGGATATCAACAAATACCTTGTTCTGAAGGATGTCAGGTGTTCTGATGTCCAGTGAATCTAAGATCTTTGCCATATCTTCTCCAAGATACTGCTTCCTTGAATCGAGCACAGCCTTTTCCCCTTGCTAAAGCTTAGGGAGCGTCTCATAAGTTGGAACGCTCGGAAAGTTCTCATTGGAACGGCGTGTTCCTGAACTGGAATGCTCCGGCGTTCCATTGGGAACACGGGACAGTTCCGTTGGAACGGCAAAATCCCAGCGGAACGGTCAGGAACACGCGTTCTATTGCGCGTTCCAGCAGAGCGTTCCTAGCATAGCGTGTATACGATGGCCCAGTTTCAGGAAAAATGGCGTCGCGATCTCTGGCAAACCGTGCGTCACTGAACGGTAGGTTTTGCCTGTTTTTGAGGATTTACATATAATATTTGGACGTGATTATGAAATTTCTGTGATGGTTTGGGTAAATAGTTCAACACAAGGTACGAGTGATTGTTAATGCGGATGGAATCTTGGTAAATCTAATGATGTAAATATCGTTTCTGTGGTGAAATGTCGGTAGCCCCGAACCTCACATCACTTGCAATCGCTACGCTGTGGTGAGTGTGTATTCACGTCAAAGTATACTTTTGCAAGAACAATATTTTGTTTAATAATACTCTGATAATGCGTACTAGATTAAGGGAAATCTCCCCCCAAAAATCGTAGATAGAGAAGGGGTATGGGGATTTCGAAATATGTTAAGTGAATTTCTGTTAAATATAATTGATTACGAAACACAGTGGCTGTTGTTACGGAAAATGTGAAGTTCTCTGGTGAAATTTCACCTTGAACTTTTACATCGCTACGGTGATTGTGTATTCACGTTTATAATTAATACAGGGCGCATGTTTGTAGTATGCATGCAGGAACAAAAAGTGTCTTTGACACTAGTACGTAATAGGTTTACTAAAATCACCCGACAAAACAGCGTAGAAAGAGTGAAGGATTTTGAATTATAAACAAATCATTTCCAAACAATATAGCCTTCATCTCGAAAACGGCCCCGCTGATAAAATGAACGAGAGGGCCTGTATGTTTTGTCATGGTACTATGCGATACTTTTACGAAATAAAAATAGAAAAAGATAAAAGCAGAGCTTACTATTGACGATGTACTTTTTGTCAGACAAATTCCACGTTTGAAACTAAACTCTGACTCCAGGTCCTGCTGCACGGATGTACTCACGTATACCCGAGAGCGAATACCCATCCGTGCAGCGTTCTGCCGGGAACACGGTGTTCCCTCCCCGTTCTAGCTGGACCGCAGCTCGGTGCGTTCCTTTCAAGCCGTGGAACGCACCCGCGTTCCATCGGGAACACGGCACGTTCCCCTTGGAACGCCTGACGTTCCTACGTAATGTTCCATTGGACCGCGAACGTTCCCGACTTATGAGACGCTCCCTTATTGTGGCGTTCTAGACCCTGTTGCTCTCTTTACAAGTATCGTTTTTGGTTATGTCCAAATCCTTTGTCAAGAGAGAGTGGCAATGAAGACCATAACGGATTGCTTGCATGTGACTTCTTTGTATATAATCAGGCATGCAACTTTTCCTCGGATCCGCCTTCCTCGTTTTTATTTCTCAGGAATGCCATTACAAATTGAAAAAACACTGTACAAAGTCTTGTGTGGTTTAGAATGTCCTTGTTTTTTCTAAATTCCCAGTTGCGTGCCTGATAATGCTCCTCGAAATTCCGTAAGCTACATGTACTTCTTCCACAGAAGTGCCAGCATACTTTGCATAAGATTCTAGTCGGCATACAGCAAATTTAATTTGTTTCTTTGTATTTGTAGCATCAGAGGCATCAATTAATTCAGAAGTAGTATCGTTGTTAAGGCAAGCAACACAAAATTGTTTAGGACCTCCGCTTTTTGCTTGAATGGTTGTGTCTTGTACTGCTGTATGAAATGCATGATGTGGTCTAGCATGCAGTGATCTGGACCCAAGGTCACCATATTTTGTGGTGGCAAATAGAGTATATTGAGAAAAAAAATTGAGTGTTTCATACGAATAGTTATTAACCTTTTCTTTTACAGGAATTTTGAATTTTTTTAATTATTGGCTGTGGTCAGGAGTTATGCCATTTTCATTGAGGTGGCTCATTTTCCAGAGTGCACACAGAATTGGTTTTGCCTTTTGTAAATTTATTGAACCATGGAACCAGGGTCAGATTTTTTTAATGTGGTCTTTGCTAGAGCCTTACTTCAAAATTGCCACTGCACCGGCTGAGCCCCCGCTTGACTGCTTGATCATTGTGTGCCGGGTTGTGCGCAGTGAAACGCAGTGGTAACAACTGGATGTTACCTGGCCAATGGCTTTGTCCATGTCAAGAGCGTAGAATGACCTGTTGACCACGGTGAGGAGTTGGTGAGGAGTTGGTGATGAGTTGGATGGTTAAGTTGGATATGGAGTGCCGTGAGGAGACCAAAGAGCACTTGGCAGGGAACAATGATGCTTTTGCGAGTTGGTGAGAGGGGCTGGTCAAGGCAGACTATCAGCAAGCCGTCCTTGCCAATGGCCACTTGGAATGCTTGATATCTTTGATGTTGGTAAGTTTTTTGGATGGGCAGGTTCCCTGCACGAGGTGGGCGTGGATGTGCAGTCTGGGCGTTCAGAGTACTGGATTTCTGACCAAGTTTCTCTGCTTGTGATAGGAAGCTTGGTGTTACCGATCACATTTTCTACTGATGTGCATACAATGACAGACTCTTCCTCGTGCTTCACAAAGGCACAGATTTAGCAGGAGGGGTCACTGCGGTTGGCAAAGTCAGACGGGATATTGGCTGCTTCGCGAGGTGGCACACAGATGCTTGGTAATGGCTCACTGTTCACAGCAAGTTGTCTTAACCTCAGTAGGAATATTTAGCCCTAGTAGGAATATTTTGATGATGTTATCATGATATCACGCATTTGTCACATTCTTGCGCAAATATCTATGACCTAACGAACCTGTTAACTGGAATTGAGCATGTTCTTTTGGTGATATACATGTAATGCTTAATGGTTTAAAAAAAATTGAAAAATCACAGGATGACATCACTTCACTTTTTATCTATAACATCGATGTCTATGAACATCCCAAGTTTCAACCCAATTGAACTAATAGTAACCTTGATAAAAGACTTTAACAAATGCACCCTTAGGATGACTTGGATTTGGGATGACGTGACATGACATTTGATGATGTCATCATGATATCACTCTTTGAGACATGACTTCACTATGGAGTCTTTGTTTGTGTGAACTTAAGTTTCATTGGAATATGACTGTTTTATGTCAAAAGTGCTTCCAGAATTTTTTTTTTTTACAGAGTCTATTGGATTTGAGATAGAAGAACAACAGGAAGAAGGAAAAAACAACAAGAAAAACAAAGGCTTTTTCCCATCTATGCGGAAAGACAACAATCACATAAACTACAACGGGAAATTGACTAGCTTCCTTGAACATTGATATTGTCAATGAATTACGAAAACCCCCAGCATGGGGCTGGAAAGCTCGGTTGTAGAACACAAATACAGAAACCTGGAGGTTGCAGGTTCACATCTCCCTCCACTACATAGGGCTGATAGCTCAGTTGAAGAACACAAATACAGAAACCTGGAGATGCAGGTTCACATCTTCCTCCACAACATAGGGATGATAGCTCAGTTGTAGAACACAAATACAGAAACCTGGAGGTTGCAGGTTCACATCTCCCTCCACTACATAGGGCTGATAGCTCAGTTGTAGAACACAAATACAGAAACCTGGAGGTTGCAGGTTCACATCTCCCTCCACTACATAGGGCTGATAGCTCAGTTGTAGAACACAAATACAGAAACCTGGAGGTTGCAGGTTCACATCTCCCTCCACTACATAGGGCTGATAGCTTAGTTGTAGAACACAAATACAGAAACCTGGAGGTTGCAGGTTCACATCTTCCTCCACTACATAGGGCTGATAGCTCAGTTGTAGAACACAAATACAGAAACCTGGAGGTTGCAGGTTCACATCTCCCTCCACTACATAGGGCTGATAGCTCAGTTGTAGAACACAAATACAGAAACCTGGAGGTTGCAGGTTCACATCTCCCTCCACTACATAGGGCTGATAGCTTAGTTGTAGAACACAAATACAGAAACCTGGAGGTTGCAGGTTCACATCTTCCTCCACTACATAGGGATGATAGCTCAGTTGTAGAACACAAATACAGAAACCTGGAGGTTGCAGGTTCACATCTTCCTCCACTACATAGGGCTGGATAGCTCAGTTGTAGAACACAAATACAGAAACCTGGAGGTTGCAGGTTCACATCTCCCTCCACTACATATCGGTAGGGCTGATAGCTCAGTTGTAGAACACAAATACAGAAACCTGGAGGTTGCAGGTTAACATCCCCCCTCCATACAGTCAATTTCGTTGTTAAACTTAACAATAATTCATGTGTTTAAATTGTTTTAATGCAGTTATATCAAGAGTTATTTGAGAGCAAGCTTTTAACTGAGACTGGGGAATACTACAGGAAAGAATCAGCCAATCTGCTGCAGAATTACAACTGTTCACAATACATGGAAAAGGTTGGCAAGTACATACTCATTTCACTTTGAGCTGTTGATTAAATATTTGTTTGTCTTTTAAGCATTTCAATCTTTTGTGGATTTCCCCTCTATTTTTCAGTGCTATTGAATACATTTTTGGTTATTGGGACGTTTGGGAAGTACCTTAAAATCCACCTTTTTGTTTCTCACCACAAAAACGTGTGTTGGGGGTGGAGGGGAGGGGGGGGAAGAGGGGGAGCATGATCCAATAGCCATTCTTCCTGGTTAAAGAGTGGGGGATACATGAACACAATGTATGGTGTATGTATACCCCCATTCAGGCGCGGTTCTAGAACCAATATTTTGGGGGGGCTAGCACGGTGGATCCAGAATTTTTTCAGGGAGGCGTGCTGAAATGTAGACCGGTTATTTTTTCCAGACACATGCCATATTTTCAATGGGGAGCGCCAATAAAATCCTAAAATCATTCACACTATATTAACTAATGCACCCTTGTCACGACTATTTCTTTAGGAGGAGACCGTTCGCATGTACATCACAATCCTTCTTTTTGCTAATGCAATTTTTTGTTTTTAAGGAATTTATTTTTGGGGGGCTAGACAAAATTTTTGGGGGGCTACAGCCCCCCCTAGCCCCCCCGTAGAACCGCGCCTGCCCCCATTGTTGAGAACGATCCTTGAACATAGTCTGTGTCTATTTGAAGCTGCGTGCCACTAAGAGCCATTTTTAAACTGAATATGCACAAACTCATCTCCATGTAATAGGAATGCACCCAATTTTAGGTACCCCAATGACAGTCATGTGATTATTGATGGAGTGCATAGCAGGAAGTGTTAATTTGCATGTGAAATACTGTTGACGTCATTATCCCTCATTGTCACATATCCAATGTTGAAATGATGAAATGTTTCTGAATAATGCATCTTTAATAAAAAATGTGAAACTATTTCAGACCAACACTGATGCCGATGTTTCTGTTGAGCTGCAATGGGTGCCAAAGTGCGCTCAAATTGATTGGATGATATACATGTATGCATTTAAATACTTGTGTTGATATTTTTCTTTTTAATTGAATCATAGACAGTTATTTGATACCTAGAAATAAATTCCTTTTCATGACACAAGGTGCTCCAAAGACTACAGGAGGAAAACTTTAGAAGTCGGAAGTTTTTACATCCCAGCTCTTATAACAAAGTGATGCATGAATGTCAAATGAGGATGGTTGCTGATCACATGGTCTTCCTACATGGTGAATGTAAAAACATGGTGCGCAATGAAGTACTAGCAGGTATGCAGGCAACAAGATGTTAAACACATGTACATGTATGTTACATATGGGTCCTTCTAGGAAGTTGGGAAATGTTAAATGACATTTTGGTAAATTTTTAGTCTGTATTGTAAACACATTGATTCTGCCAGTTGTTTAAAAATGTTTGAAAGCACTCAGATGTTTGAAAAAACCCAACAATGTTCTTAAGAAAAACTGGATGTGGAGGTAACAAGGAAAGCACAGCATTATTGCCATATTTGGTAATTTATGTACGTTTGTTTGACCGTTCTCCCACAGGTAAATTGCCTGAGAATATTAGAGATAATTTTATACATGTATTTTTTTTACATTTCATGTAAAATCTTAAAATCTTAATGTTGTTTATTTTCCAATTTTCCAAACTGACTCTGAGCATCATCCATCAGATTTGTTGGAAAAAACAGCATTAAGGCTTTACTTTGAATACCCGAAATACAAGTTTGTAGTGGTTCAGAATTATTAGTAAGTATTTGCTACTCTGAGTAGCCCCTCATACCCAACTATAAATGTGTCAGAATGTCATAAAACCTTCCCCAACTTAATGGTTAGATCATTACAAGTATTGGTAATGTCAACTAGCGTTATTGCTGATTTCCTTTCTATGACCATCCTTTTAACCATCCCTCCAATTAAGCCAATCGATCAACTTAAGCCTATCATATTCTGGTTGACTGAGCCCAAATAGGAGAATTGCTGTAGTATGATTTTGATGTGTTAGCAATTGCTGTTGCAAGAATGTACTAATCTTTGGAATTAATCAAAATCTAATAGTGTGCATTCGTAAATGCATTTATACCTTTTAATACACTTTTTGCTTCTTTTTTGTGTGTGAAATGTCCTGACTCTTTATGCTCTTATTTATCTACAAGACCTTTCTAGGATGTACAAGTTGCTCAAACCCGTTGTAAATGGACTTCACATCATGGTCAATGAACTCCAAGAACACATCAAACAAACAGGTATGCCGCACAAGTTATTCACATAAAAATTATAGAGATTGTACTTATACTAGAAATTAGTAGTTTTGATAAGCTTCACTCTTTTGCAGCATTTTAACAATATTTCAGAGAACCCCAACCCCCTCGTCTTGCCCTATTCGATGCTACATGAGTGCTACAAAGTTCGGTTCCATTTCACAATGATGAATGCTGGCAGAAGAGTTGTCAATGTTTACTTGAACTTTGTACAGGGGAGGGTGTTTCTGTGTATTTTGTATCCAGTTCCTGCGGAAGCCTGTTGGGGCCAGGTATGTCTTTCTCTTTCACAGCTGTATGTTTCTCTTTCACGGTGGTGCATTGCTTTTTCACAGCAGTGCGTTGCTCTTTCACGGAGGACGGTGCATTTCTCTTTCATGGTTAAGGTGCCTCTCTTTCATAACGTGTGTCTCTCTCTTTCAAGGGGCAAGTCCAATATTACAGGGGTGTATTTTTCTCAAGGTGTGATGAATAAGGACATATTAACTCACGGCTTAACTCAATACATAAGTAAGTCGCTGTCGCGAATTAATAAGTCCCAAGAGAATAAGTCGCAGATGCGACATAAATAAGTCCCGGCCAAGAGTTAATTTATCGAGTTAATTCCCTGAAGCCCCACCAGAAGTCAACTTTCAGGCCCTATACACATTTTACATGTATGCACATTGCCACATAGTTGTTTATGAGACAATATAAAAGGAAAAAACATGCAGGCTAATGAACATGCCTGCGGGCTTGTTAAGAGTCTGTTTCAGTAGCCTGGCTGTCTAGTGAACAAAAAAGTTAAGGTCGAACTCTGCTCCAGTAGTGCTACTCCATGTACGCCAGGCCTGGTTTAAGTTGAAATGGTTCACATGTAAGTTGACGTCACATTTACAAACCAGTTGGAGTTGTGGTTAGGTTACAGGACTTTGGTTCGTGTATTTCAGCTTTATTGCCAATTAATTGATTAACCCTTTGACGACAAATTGTATAGTCTGTGCATGTAATCAAAATAACCTTTACTGTAAAGGCCTTACTTTTGATGGCTGTCCAAAGAAATGCTCAAACATGTATTTTCTGTTTAAAATCAATATTGTGTGCAGGGTTGCAGGCTGTTTCAAGTCTACAGGGTGAAAATGTAAGTAAAAAAGTCGTTTATATTTTTGTGATGGTCAGAATCAGCTTCATGCATTCTTTCAAATATCAAAGAAACAAATGTATACAATATTTCATTGATAAGAAGAGACTTACTAAAGTAATAATTTGGTTGAATCCAGTAGAACCGTTTATATCTCAATACTGATGTCATTCCAGTAACAATAACTCTCAGCCGGGGGGGGGGGGGGGGGATTCTGCCCCCCTAAGATCTCGGCTATCGAGTGACAAAAAATGATGAAACTCGGTACATGCATAGAACAGCTTACCATGAACATACCGGTACCCTAGAACATACCCAAAATTGTTCCCAGCTCAGCGGTTGAATTTGTGGGATTCACGAGGAACCTTCAATAAGGACGCATGAATGTGGGGGTTTCCATCATTCAATTATTATGTGAACCAGTTTCATTTATACTTTGTACTGTCCTGTTTGTGACTTTTTATTGTGATAGATCCATGCCCTATTTGTGGATGCAATCTTGGCCTTACACAGCAAGTATACAAAGATGATATGTGAGACATTAGGCAAGGATAAAGTCTTCTCCATGGCCTTGGATAAGGTAATGTTTAACCCATTACACGCTATATTCTGTCATTCGGGAGTTATACGGTGTCAGACATACATTTGCAACAATCCATCTGTGTGCAGAATTAAAGTTATAATCATACAGAAGTAAGCTACTACAAAGATTTAAAAAAGAAATTATTCATCAAACTTTTTTGCTGTAGTAGAAATCAGCTTAAAAAAAACCAGGATGTCGGATGAACTCAGACATATTAATTTTGTGTGTGTACAAATTTATAAATGTTTCAGTTGCAAGTAACAGCAGAGCTCCGAATGATATACATGTTTCATTTGTGGCATTTGGACTAGTTTAAAGTGTTCGCCTTTAAATTTATAATTCTGTAGAACTGCAAAGATACAGAAAACTTGTGTGTGGACAGTTTTTCTATGAAAATAATTCTATGGTGGTTTAGCACATTTCCAGGAGAAGTTGTGTATTTAGCGGCTGTCATTAACCCTAAACAGTCCTAAATCTTCCAATGTTCATATTACACAGACTTCAGAGGTTGGGTGTAACACTGGCAGCAATAATAATTCTTCTGAATACTATAAAAGGGCGACACTTCCATAGACTTGTGCATAAATGACCCCTAAATTAAATTTGACCTTATCCTACCGGTACCCCCCCCCCCCAAACTGCATATCAGAGGGTCTGTCTTCCCAACTATTGCGACAGCAAATTTCCTTCTCCAAATGGTAGTTAAAACAATTTGGTGACACCAAATTCTCACCCTAATGGATTATATCACCCTCATATAGAAACGTTAAGCACAAAGTGTCGCTCTAACATAGAATTGAGGAGAGTAAATATCTGCCTGTGCTTATTCCTTCAGTAATTAATTAAATACATGTTGTTTAATTGTTGTATTTGATGAAAATTTGCTTGAGACATAATTTAAAAAAAATTGTTCAATTTTTCTATTACTCAAATGATTTTTACCATTACGTAAATCCATGTGAAATTCAGGTGGATTTCATAAAGTGATTATGAGCTTATTTTTTCTGTTGTAGGCATGTGCTGCCATAGTCAACCACAGACCTCACCCAAGACAGCCTTGCAAATCACCTGAACTGGTATGACTACTACATTACTTCCTTGTCCAAAAAAAATATGTCATCCTTTCTGTGAGTTAAGCATTATCTTACCAAATAAATTACAGATATATATTTAAAAATGATTTTTTTTTTACAAATCTAAATCTTTTTTTTCAAAAAGTACTAGGAATCATGACATTTTACCCCGTCCCTAATTTTTAAACTTATTAGTTTGGCAACAAGACCTGATATGGTGTGAAAAAAAAAACAATTGCACAAAGAGCCCGTACAATGTACATTTAAGTTAATAATCAAATGTTTTCTGTCATACAAGAGGTAATTCCATTATATTTCGAAGTATAGCATATTGTCCTTGCCTTTGCCTTTGCTTTTTCCTTTATTTAGTTAGCCAAATACTGTGATACATTACTGAAGAAGAGTGCGAAGGGAGTCAGTGAATCTGAAATTGATGACAAGTTACAACAATCCATTTTAGTCTTTAGATATATTGATGACAAGGATGTCTTCCAACGGGTAAGTTGGTCATGAAGATTTCTAAGATATACATACAATGGCATGATAGCAACAGACAGCAAGTGCTTGTACTATTAAGCTATCAGGCTCACATCTGAATTCATGTATATTTCAAGAGAGTTCAAATCAACAATGTCAATCAGACTTATATACAATTGGATACGAAAGATTGTTCAGCCCAGGGGCAAATTTTAAGGTGCTCTGTAACAGTTGGCCAAAAAATTCATACCAAAATCACCTGATGATGTCGTTGTGATGTCACTTTCAGAGTTTGACACATTGGTAACCATTGATTTCTCACCACATGACAATTAAACCTTCCCCTATATGTACTTTAAGTAATCATACATTTGATGATGTCATGATGAAGTCATGACATTATTAATTATCCCGCGAGTGCGAGTGGAACACGGAATAATGTAGTGCGTCCGTGTTCCACATACCACGAGGCCGAAGTATGTGGGACACAGACGCACTACATTTTCCGTGTTTCACGAGCGCAAACTTGAGGCACGGTAAAGATGGAACACAGACGCTGTACACAAACTTTTCAACGGTTATCCTATTGCACGTGCGTGTTGTACGGAATGGCGCTCGCATCTTATAAAAGCGCAGTACGCGGAGTGCGGTATGGACCGTGGCCGTGCTACCTGGTTATATGTAGCACGGCTTGTTGCCATGGATCGACCAATAATTAGCGAGGACTTAACTAAACAATTTAAGACAAAATTGTGAATTTAGAGTGTTTTGTGTCCTGGGATATGGCAATAAGGTTCAAAAGTTCAAAAAGCTATATACAAATATTTGTACAAAAGCAAAGTCTTTTCCGCAACTGTTAAATTTAAGGAATTGACAATCGCCTTTTTTGATTTTGTGACAGTTTTATGCACGTATGTTAGCCAAGCGATTGATTCACGGCTTGTCAACATCCATGGATACTGAAGAATCTATGATCAACAAATTGAAGGTATGATAACATTGTTTGAAGATCACACTGAAACCTTGCTCAACAACTTGGCCACTTGCTGTCTGATAAAGCACAATGCTTGTGATCTTCCAGAAGGATTAGTGGCATGTAACTGGGGGTGCACAGTGGCAGAGTGCAACAGGCTAGATATATTAAAAGCAAAATTGGGACGCTGATAGATGAAAAATCAGGACGATAAAAATGAATTATAAATGCAAATTTGGGAACTGGACACATGGGCATTGCTAGACATGGGGGTTGTGTGGGTGTGCAAAAACGTGTGTCAGTCGGAAAATGTTCTGGGATGAAGAGTGGTATGTTTCGTCAAACAGTGTGCCCTATAGGAAGATGGTGTCTAGCCCCACACCCCTGCTTTTCCATTTGACAGGCCAGGCGACCAAAAATATATCCTGTGTATTGGCACGGATGCGGTGACACTAAATTTGTTGTCACACTCCCATTCACAGAGGTCTGGAAACACTTCTGACAGGATGAAAAGTTTATATTACAACGGGAAAACAAAATACCCTGGTTGCGCGACTGATTTAGTGTCAATTAGGAGTGTTCATAAGATGGAATTTTGCGTTGGGTGATGTAAATCAAATTAGGTTTTGCAAAACCTAATTTGACATACAGGAGTGGCTAACATTCTTACTAGTGATCAGAGTAGAGGAATTTGAATCACTTAAGCCGGGGCTTAGCTTTAAAAACAGTTTGTATTGCATGGTTTTGTTTATGTTTTTTGTTTCTTCTTGCCGTTCCTGAACTTTTGTTTGTCACTTTTATATTCCTATTTTGTAAAGTAGCGAGAGAGTGGCCAGCAACATGAAAGGTGATGACGAAAAATGTAAATTATTGCTGAATGGAGGAAAAAGAAAAAAACGCAGAAACTTGCCTGCTACTTTCTTGCGAATAGAAGATGCACGGCCATTGTCTTGCTCATAACTAGAATGAGGTCTAAAACCACGGCATTCTAGAGTTGTTCGGAACAAGTACAACATTGTGATCTTTCAACATTTTAGTCATTTTAGCCCATTCAGTCATGCTACATTTTTTCGTATGTCAAATTTTCATGTACCCAATTCAAGTTTTAGGAATAGAATGCCAGTCTAAAACAGGCATACTCAAAGTAGGATCCATCTTATTTCAAGGACAGTAAAACAATAACTAAGTCATTTAAACTTTTTGAAGAAAATGTAATTTAAGGCTTTCCATGTTGGATTGTACAACTTGGTAGAAGGTGAGAAATGATTATCTCTATTAAAATCAAATGATTGGAAGAAGAATGAGAGGTGATAACTTCATAACATGCTCAGTATGCTCTGACTGTCACTATTACCTTGTTTTCCTCTCAGCAAGCTTTTGGCTACGAGTTCACCAACAAGCTTCACAGAATGTTCACAGACATTGGAGTTAGTGAAGGACTTAATGGCAATTTCAACACATTCTGTCAGGACAAGCAAGTGGATCTCAGTGTCAACTTTTCTATATACGTCCTGACAGTAAGTTCATTTTAATTGTAATTTTTAACCAGTCTTGTGCTGGCTGAGTTTTGTATTTTTCTTAAGATCGATTCACATTTCCCGAGGTGACCAATTAGTGTTCACAGCTACTTAATAAATTTGCTTTGTACTGGAATTCATGCAAGTATTAATAGCTCAGGAAAGGACCAAGTATTTGGTCGATATTTCTGAACAATGTTCACCCATAGGGTATTCAAATCAGCTAGTCTTGAGGGACCATGATACCAGGTGTGAGTAAATTACAATGATCAAGGAGACGGAAAAAAAAGAGGCTGATCCAAAACATTGAGAAGAACAATGGCCATTTTAAAGAATTGTTTTTTTGTAAATGTAATTTGGGTTGGGTATCAGATCAATACTTTTAAAAATGGGAATTCAAAATCCTGTCAGATAAGTTCTGTTGATTAGCTGAACATACATTTGTAACTTTGCCTAGGGTACTGAACCTCCATGATCAATAGGAGTATTAACAGTCGCCCACCACGGGAGGCCGGTTGTAAACTACAAACGTACCAAGCGTTCAGACACCGTTTTAAGTTTAGCCAGTTCCACTTGAAGTGGTTTATCTCGGTTTCCGTGGTCACGTAGAACTTTCCCCTCGGCCCAAAACCACGCGCTGTAAAAGCCTTCACTTCGTCAAGTTTGCCCACTTAGCTTCACATGGTCTGGAGCCTTTCTCAGTTGTCATGGTTAACATTGTAAGCCTAGCAGTAAACAAGGCAGTTCACTGCAGCCACGCTCGCTGATATCGCAGGGTACAGACTGTGTTGGACAGCTCCCTTGGGAAATAATTCTTTAACAAGGCAACTGTCCTTTTTCACATTGTTTTTCTTCAGACTTTAGAAAACCTTGTTACTACTCATCCCAAAGTTATGTGTTCATTTCTTTTTGTTACGGGTTTATTTCTTTTTAGTTGATAACCACTTAGGATTAATTTACTTTGAATGACAGCTACCAGTTAGATCAGCATTTAAATATGCTTATTGTGTCTTCCTGTGGTACTAAGTTTTGTATTCAGTTCAGTCCAACAGAGCATAACCTTAATTACATTTGGGACAGAATCCCGACAGATGTCACAAGTGCCTTTTAGAAAGTTTGAGTAAATGTGACATTTTAACTTGATATGCTTTTCTGTAACCTTGAGCAGAAACTTATCATATTTGTTCCAATGAAAACAGGTAGGGTATGTCAAGTTTGAAGTTTTAGTACATTTTAAGTTTGTACAAGACATTGACACCTAGCACATGACAGCTTATGATTGTCCAGACATGTTGTGTGTGTCTGATGATTGTCCTATGTATTTGACTATTACAGACAGGATCATGGCCTTTGGGGCAGTCAACACTTGCACCATTTGCTATACCACAAGAGCTGGAACAAAGTGTTAGTAAGGTGAGTATGGGTCCATATTTCTTTTTTGTAACTATCTGTAGAATTGTTGATGTCAGGCAACAGTCAAGTAATTGCATTAAAAAAACAAACAAACAAATGTTCCCTAATGCTATTTATCATTGTGCTGTATCAACCGTTGTAATGTAAAATAGGGGAGTAAGAACAGATCATTAGAAATTAATAGTGGAACAGCAAATAATGAACAATATCTTCTTTTAGGGAATTTGGCTCCACTGCAAGAAAATAAAAAATAAAAAAAAATCTTACAAATAATTTTTTTTTATTTGTAAGATTAGAAATTTGAATTGAGGAGATGTAAAGTCAATCTTAGGATTTGACCAATGTAATATCATTGTATATTCCATGTTGTCCGAGGGCTTGCAAGAACAACTTGAAAGAGTGGCTTGAGTGGGACGATACAGCAGGAACTCCTGCTCACTTGGGCCAAAGTCTGACCTTGCTAGGGTTAACCTGTTGGTGTGAATCTGATATTGCAGCAGCTACCACAGTAACCAACTATTTTGTACATTTGGATTTCTGTGTCGTGGGGTTTGTGAGGGCTTGTCGGTGGAACATGGTTATTTTTGAATTTTTTCCTTGCATACCTTTGGACTGCACTAACTAACAGTGCTTATTTATGTTCATTCTTTTGCTTTTTAGTTTGAGGAATTCTACAGCGAGAAGCTTCCAGGCAGGAAGCTGACATGGTTGCATCATTTATGCACAGGTAAGCAGTCATCAGTTGTCATAGACTGGTGCATCAAGTCCTGATTGCGCAGTGAGTTATATGGGCTGCATCCATAACTCAATGGGCTGCGTACATTCCTTCATTAGCCCCTGGCCGTGTGGAATACCAAAAACAATGCTGATCGACTAGTCAGAGTGCACTGCGCTAGTGCACGCACAGGCTGCTCGCACTGTATCCGCTCATGTTAACGCCTGCACATCACGACACGTACAAACACTGTTTTCTAGACTGCGCGATGCCTCAAGGAGATGGAAAGTCTGGAAGGCTGGTTGTTTTTGCCAGAAACCTGTATCTTTTGTTGACAACAGAGATACACATTATGTATTCCAGCAGCGCAACATCAAAAAGTTATCTTATCCCTTGTTAGTGGGTCACCCTTTTTTGACACCCTGTATGGCAGTAGGAGTCTGGAAAGCCTTTCAGCACAACTCTGAATCATACCCAAACATCACAATCAGGATTAGCAGCACATGCCGTAAATCAATGTCAAGCATTCTCTCCTTTATTAGGCTTGGGCAAATCCACACTAAAATTTAACAGAATCGATTCCAAATCAGAATCGGAATCGCGATTCCACTTCTTGGACGAATCAATTCTCTGATGTAGCTGATTCCAGGTTCCGGAGTGTCGATTCCAGTCTTCGTGTGACGATTAAAAAAATGGCCAACTCCAACACGCCTTCAAAGAACGCCCAATTCTTTAAGGAAACAGATACTGAAACAGATAACGAAACAGATATGCAGTGCATCAAAGACAAACTGATAGCACAACTTTCTGATGAAGCCATCCTCTAACGAAAACCTTTAAAAGCTTCATGGCATATTAAAGGAAACATGCAGTCCAAAATTTTCATAACGTATTTTATTTTATATATACATTCATTTATGTGTATTAAATGTGAAATAAAAGCAGAACTGGTTCTGGTGTACGTTTAGTGTGGTAATTTGCCGTCCAAAATTGAACCCCCCCTTTTTGATTTTCGCGGCAACTCCAAATGAGGGCGCTGTTCATGACATAAACAAAGACAGAGAAATCCAGGGCCCGTAAATGACGTCTGGGTACGAGACGGATTAGCGAAGCTACTGTGCTGTGTGTATGTGCAGCCGCCGCGTACCCGTACGTGGCATTATATGCACACGTACGAATGTGTCTACATGGGATATGTACAGTACACGTGGACGTGCCACGGTGCCACCGTTGTCGAATGAACACGACGACCGTCATGACCGTAAAAGTTCCGAAGACCGTCCTCTTCTTTCCTTAGCGAATCCGATGAAAATGGTACAGATTCGTCCGATTCGAATCTGAGTTCTAATGATTCAGACACTGACTCAATGTTTTTTTAGGGGCATGCCCAAGTTGCTGTAAAGACCAGCATCAAAGCACGACGGCTCAAAGTGCAGCGCAGAGGGCAGCGAACTCACTGGGCCCGGACCACTTTGCTCTGGTATTTACCTTCACTTTGGCTCTCCAAATGCTCCGATATTTCGGATTTACTGGAAATGAAGGCTTACTCCATCCTTGGTAGTTTTGCTACACCCAGCAGCCACACACCTTGTCGGCATGGCCGAAAATCGGGTGTTATTTCTCCTCGATTCCGAACGAAACACCAGAAAAACTTTCAGTGCCGCAATGTATATGTACATGTATTATGATGCAAGTCGCAATGCCGGTGCCCCCGCAGCGCGGCAAGTCTCTGCCTCCACTCACGTCATACCCCTCGCGAAGTTTTATGTTAATGAAGCTTCCCTTTGTGGGGCGGAGTAGTTTGACCAAACATGTTCACAAATTATTTTCCCCCATTTATCTTAGAAAATAAACACCGCCATACACAAAATATTGTTAAGAACATCATCCTTTATTGATTTAAGCAAAAAAAATGCAATCAAAATTTTATTTCATGTTCCCTTTAAATATCACAAAGTGAGCTATTTTATTTGAGGAATACAAAGGCAGCTGGCAGCGCGCCAACATTCGTGTCCATATGGCCTGCCTGCCGCTATGTATTTTTTCATTGATGTAACATTTGATTTTGTCCAAACAAAGCAGGTTTCCTATCATTGTAGGAATTTTCACAGCGATTGGAAGCTCTCTAAAAATTAAAAATGCTTTTATAACATCCATAAAAAAAATTAAGGAAACTTTCAGAACCATCTTTCAAAAAGTTTGTCTCGGATTACTTTGTCCTTCCCCGTCAAAAACCAATGCAGTCCTGCATTTACATTGTTCTAAAACAACCAGCAAGTAGCGATGAATCGTCTGCTATTTTCGAGAAAAAAAATCCCAGGATTGAATATCGGAAATATTAACTGCAAAGCTCCACATTTTTGCTTACGAGGTGCGTGATCAGTGATGTATATGCATTTCAAAATTCATATCTAAAACAGTTGTCAACAACACACCAGACGAGCATAGGTGAGGAAATATTATTGCGCGCACATAATGTACTGTGGAGCCATCACGTGATTTGACAAGCAAGCTATTTCTCTTCTTGGGGAATTCCCTTGTACATGAGCACAGGCTAACTGAAGGACTGTACTGTCATTTGATTGGCAAGTTGGTCTCATTTTCCTCTCTTTCCACAACCCCATCAAGTGATGTTTTATATGAAGGGATATATGTACATCGGAGTTGTAAATAAGGGTTACAGAAATACTGCGCACAACATGTCCTGAAGGGGCGTGGTTTGATTGGTATTTTATTCATGCGATCGCAATCCACAAAGTCTTTTGTGACTTATACAATCTTGTAAAATATTTTAGACTTTTAGACTGGTGGATCGGCAAAAGATCAGTAAAATTAGGTAAATATATTCAAAAGATTCCTGTAAATTTCGTAGGTAGAGATTCAGCACCTCAGTCTTATTCAGTTTTTTTATAAATTGTTATAAACCACGAGGCTTGACTTCCCTTGCTATGTAGGAGGTGGCCTCACCACCTGCTGCCCCCTTTGGGAAATCGCTACAATGTAATACAATGTAGAACAGGTGCCAATGGGTTAACAATTGTTTGGAAGTTATGAATGAATACAGCAAGATGAAAACAAACACTTTTTAGGCCATCAGCCTGGGGGTTTGGTCATTATCAAATCAGGGCATGATTATAGTGCGCACTCACAAGGCATACCGTCCCTAGAGTGGTAACAAGCATTTTGATGGACATTTTGAAAAAAGGGTGACAACACTCAACAAGCTGCCACCACTGTAATGCTATCACATATTTTCCAACTCTGAAGGTGTATTGTTGCCAAAAATCGCTATGACGATTATTCCCTCATTTGATACCGGTAGCCACAATTTTGGACCGAGGCTGATGGCCTATTTAGAGTTGAATGATTCCTTTACTGCCATGACTGCAGTCAAGTTGTCCAAGATACTAGATAGACCAGGGAAGGCAGAAATATGTAAATGTAAAAAATGCTTTAATTGCATGTGACACAGGTGAACTCAAGCTCAACTATCTGAAGAAGAGTTATATTGTGACTGCAACTACCTTCCAAATGGCAGTATTACTGCTCTTCAATAGCCAGTCATGTCTACGCTACAGCGAACTGTTAGAAAGCACGCAACTTGGTGAAAAGGAATTACAGAGAACCGTTCAATCACTAGTAGATGTCAAACTGGTTGACAACAAAGCACAGGTACATTTCTTTCTGTTAAACTTTAAACATTTGGAGCATTGAATTCGTGGTCTGCTAGTAATTCTGCAGGTTGTGGGTTCCAGTCCAGCCTGGGGTTGTGGTGCGTGTGCCCTTGGGCAAGGCACTTTGTCGCTCATTGCTTCTCACCCAGGAGTAAATGGGTATCTGTGAGGGCAGAGATGGTTATTGTGATTGATTTTAGCTGCTTTGCGCTGAAATGGCAATCTGTATACTCCCCAGGGAGCTGAGATGGTATTTGGAATGTTTCATGGGCCCAATGAGCAGGGTATTGATATTGCGCCTTGAGCACCAATACTGGTGGATATGTGTGCTGAAGAAATATATGTGAACCAGACAAAATTAAGGAGTAAGTTTTCCCTGTAGAGAAAAAGGATTTTGATGTTCCATTCGAAAGTATTGATTATCAATAAAGGCTTTAAGGTAATGTTATAATTATTGGTTTTGAGGAAAAAGTCTCTTGAGTTTCAGAATTTTTTTTCTGTTCATTCTTCTATGGGTGTGTATTTAACAATGAAGATAAGATCGTTATTAAATACACTTCAAATCCAATAAAACATGACCAAAAAAAGATCAATCAAACTAATGAATTTACTTTTAAATTTTTTTTTTCTCTCTTGCAGTGTGAGTCCTACCCAGTCTCATTTCGCCAACATATGTTACATGTTGGTTTTTTATTCAGAATCTAAACCAAAAGCTGAAGAAACCAACAGGATTAGATAGATTTTGTTTTTTTCTTCATTATTAAAAAAACATATGTGGCTTGATATTTGATTTATAATGGAGTTTAGTCAAATGGCATTGATAAACATTTTTCAATAGGTTACTCATATAAGTCTGCTGATCAGAGCAACGTTAAAGAAACATTGAAATAACATGGAGACTTCTGGTTGGATGTTCACTGCACCTCCTAACAGTCTAACTAGCACCATATGTTGTCATGGGTAGCCACCACTGCTGACGTTTAGGCGCACATTTGCCTTTGGTGCTATGCGCCTCAAGAGAGGTTCAACATCACATTTCCCACATCACAGCAGTCAACAATTGCTTTGTTATAACTCAAAAAGATAAATGGTTGTAACTTTACTGTGTGTGAAATAAATTAAATCACTGCGATGTAACCTTTGATAACTGAAGGTGCTGAAGTCCTGCAGACATGAGACTGAGCGTTTGATGTTGCAGTTCTCATTGCGCAAAGCTAGCGCGCCGGCAGGTTCCACACGCCCCCGCACTGGTGCAATGAACGCAGTGCGATATCACCCTCATATTGTCCAGACATGTGGCTGTTCTAGACCAATGAAATTATAGTATCCAAGCACATGATATAACAATATCATTTATACAACACCTGAATAAATCCCTGTCATCTGATTGGTGGATCGTTGATCACATGTCATTGAATTATTCCTACCAGCGCACGGTGTGCTCGTGGCGCGCAGCGCATAGTGCAATGGAAGCTCTATTGCACTGTGAATAGAACTTCCATTGCACGATGTCCCTGCTACTGGTGGTGGCGCTGTTTTAAATCGAGATAAATTGAATATGATTGTTCTTAACCTGTCGAACAGTTTGCATTAATATAAATATGATGAATTTGTCGAACTTTTAAACAGTTTTTAACCTGAATAAATTGGCTATTAAAAGTCAACTAATCAGATGACAAGGATTTATTCAGGTGTTATATAAAACAAATAATGAATGTTTCACGTTCGTTCAATGGAAAGAATAATTTCATTCGGTGACAGATGAAATGTTCCATTTGATCTGTCACCTCATGAAATTATTCTTACCATTGCACTCACAAACATTCATTATTTGTATATTATTGCACTTTTTGTCATAATTGGTAACAAATTTGATAAACTTCAATCTTTTTTGTTTGTTAGTCATCCCAATCAGTAGCCATTTCTGTAGCTCATCCTCCATGCGCCATTCTTTAAATTTGGGGTCCAAAGTGTGTCATTCTTCCTGTCCCTGTTACCTCTGAGCTTTGTAGTTGGCCTTTCAAGTATCATTAAAAATGGTTTCACAAAATTTGTATTTGTTAGGTAGGCAGTTTGCTTTATGCAGTCACTCTTGGAGAAAAACGACATTTAGAAGTGCATCCAGAATTGACAAACTCATACAGTGTCTGATGCAACAGGGACAGGTTTAAATTGACCCCAAATTGATAGAATGACCCACATTGTAACTCAATTAGAACTAAGAACTCATGCCTGACTAATAATGAAAAAGTATGGGCTATATGCACAATTGCCCCTCACTCAGTACACACAGAGAGGGTAAGGAGGGACTCATAATCACATTTATCATGTGCAGACCTATAGAAGAAGCCCCATCTACAGTTGATATACAGAGGCCATGGGCAAGCGCTGAGCTTTTCACATTAGATATAATGTAATGAAAACTGTGAGAACTAATTGGCAAATTTCCAGCAGAGACAACTTTATTGAACTGAACTTGTTTACCCATGTGCAGTTGATTGTTGACCCATATTCAACTGAGAGAGCCATTTGTTATAGACTCGTTTAATAAATGTTAGTCCTGGATAGAGATTTGAAAATGTCCACATGTATGTATTAACGAAAGCATACTAGCTGTTCACATATAAGCATTAAAAAAAACCCACCACACACTCGAAACCTTGTTTGCCATTTGGACTCCCATATAGTGAGGTACCTTAGTGACAAAAATGCCAGGGATCGTGACACGGTGGACAAAAGCACCATTTTTTCACCAAAGCATCTCCATTATATACCTTTTCGAAAAAAAGACGGACGCAAAAAATTGGATGATGGGAAGGGCCCGTATGACGTCATTATGACGTCATCGGCTAATTATTACATGAAATACATATAAATTGATAATATCTTCTGAACTACAAGCATCACAACAACAAAAGTCGCATCAAATGAAAGGGAACAACAAGATCTTTCATTCAAGTGGTATGTTAGGGGCGTGGAATGTAGTAAAAGGTGTTTTTGGGGGCAAAAAAGCACTTTTTTGGTAAAAAAAACCCTGATTTTTGGCTAAAATCATGTATTTTTGTTTGGCACCTTGTTTAACATGCAAACCGTATTTGTTATTGTGAGATTTTGTTTTTAAGTCAGAGAAAAAGGTTCAAATTCTATGCCAAAAGAGTTTTTGCAATTGATAATAATTTTTTTGTAATTGATTATTAGTATCTTAAATGCTTACACTTGAAAAACATATAAATTGATAATATCTTCAGAACGACAAGCATCAACAAATGACAACAACAAATGTGGTATCAAATTAAAGGGAACAACAAGATCTTTCATTTGAGTGGTATGTCAGTGGGATGGAATGTAGTACAGGGTGGGATTTTTGCCCAAAAAAAACCCTTTTTGGTACAACAAAACAAAATTGGTGCTTCAATCATGGATTTGGGGTAATCATTTTGGCACCTTGTTTTAACATGCAAACCGTAAGTGGTATTGTGAGTTTTGGTTCTTAAGTCAGAGAGAATGGTTCAAATACTATGCCAAAAGAGTTTGATTATTGCTATTTTAAATGTTTAAACTTATTCCAAAGATAGGCGGACAAAAAAATGTAACATAGGTTACAGTTGGGTTCCTATCCCAGTGGATCTCAGTTACAGATTCATCACATGTCTCGTTGTCGAGCTTGGAGGGGTTGGGCAATCTGCCGGGTGCATCTGCGATCACCATCATAGCACCAGGTTTGTAGATATCGTCGAAGTAGTATCCGGTGTGGTGTACTGGCTAGGATTTTACGCCAGATAGTAACCAATGGTTTTAATGGTCAGTGACAACAATGAAGTTGGAGCCGAATGAAGTTGCAGCAGTGCCACAGCTTCCCTCTCGATATTCGAGAATATGCTCTGGGAAGAGGATCTATAGGCTCTTTGAGGAAAATGCGATGGGTTTACCTTCCTGGGTGTTGCCCAATCCTCATTCAGATGCATCTACTTTGAGGATGGTTTCTATACCTGTGTGCCGGAGAATCGTAGCCAGGACTGAGTTCAGATGGAGTGTTTAAGGGTTGTAAAAGAAGCTTGATGGTCCTCTTCCCAGAGAAATGGTACATCTTTTCGAAGAAGATCGCTGAAGGGAGCAACTTTGTCTGTGCAATTTGGGGTGTAGTGTGAGACATTGTTGACTATGCTAAGGAACCAGCAGTTTCCATCAGGGCGATGAGACATTCGGCCGCTCGTCATGCTCTTCAAGGGAGACCGAATACTGCAATGTCGTCACGGTGATTGTTCCATCAAGGCATCTAGCTTATTTTGCCATCAATATTTTTGGGACCATTATCTTGGCTTACTGAAGACGATGAATGGGCGACGAAAGCTGTTAACAACCAAATTGTATGTTGTCAGTTTTTCAGACTGCCCTAGATGAGCAGACAATACCCTGCTTTTGACGTCTAGCTTGGAGGAGAACCTTTCCAGTGCAAATTCTGGCTTGAGCTCCTCAAGAATGGGGATCTTTAGAAAACATTATGTGTTTAGCTGCTTGGGATCCGGACACATCCTGAACGGGCCGTCTTTTTTGGCAATTGCTGTGATAGAGCTGCACCCGTCCGTGTGATGGGAGACTTTCCGTATGACCCAGCCTTTCTCAGTCTTTTTCAGCTCGGCCTGCGGTTTTGGTTTTGCATGAAAGCTGCACCTATGTGGCGGATTTATGTTGGACTGAGTATCTGGCTTGAGGTGTAGGAGAGCGCGTATCTAAGTCGTCGAAAGTATCAAACTGCGTTGGGAGCCGGTCCTTCAGGTCTTGTATGTCTCTCACCGGAGTGGTAGTGGTCAGCCATTTGGTTCCTGTGGGGGCCTGAGACTTTGGGGGCAGTGTGCCAGTGTAGGTTTTGACCAAGTGTAGGGTGCGGCTCGTAGGGTACGTTCGGCTCGTATAGTAGGGAGCCAATTGATAGCTGGTCCTGGCACATTGACCACTTGGAACTTCTCACGTTGCCAGTCATTCTGCTTGTATACCCAT